AAAAAAAAAGCCTCCCTGAGCTTTTAGCTGAGCTAAAGAAGAGCACGGCCAGGCCGGGAGGAAATGTTCTTGTGCATCTCCCTCACACATTTCCCTGCTCTCCTTTTCTCCTCCACTCACAACTGCTGTTTGCTTATTGAGTGTGTCTGGAGGGGAGTTTTCCGAGCTTCTGTTCATTTACTCGTGTCCAGTTCCCTTCCCAGGCATAAATCAGGCAGGGAGACATCAGCAGCAGCGATTCCTGGCACCCCCAGCACACTGAGCAAACATCCGAGTTCCGAAAACAATATACAATGGATTATTCATAACAGGCCCAGTGCGTCACGCAGGAGTAATTATAAACATGAAATCTATCAATAATGACCATTTTTACAGCGGATTTAACAAAATAACGCGCTCCAAACAGCCTCTTGGTTACTTATTATTAATGAAATGCCAAAATATTTAGGGTTTTTAACGGGACAATTAATTACTCCCAGTAAATATGGGAGTTCTCTCCTATAAAATAGGCTTTTAGACATCTGGTGAGGGTTGGGTTTTTAAAAGCAAGAGCTGATGGTTCCTGCAGAAAGTTCCCTGGGAGCTCTGAGAACTGGAGCCACCAACACGTATAAACGAGTAGAAGGTAATTAACTCTCATATAAATTGAGGTGGATCTCAGTGCAAGAGTCAAATCAAGGCACACTCCAAGCACTTCCCCACTGCAAACATTCAGGGCTATTAATTTCCTTGGAAAAGTGTCTTCAAGCACATAGGATGGCCCAGCTTTAGAGGAGGATCCAGATGTACAGTGAGGATCTGGATCCACAAGGAGGATCCAGTTTCACAAAAAGAGGATCCAGATTCACACGAAGAAGATTCAGATTCCCCAAAAGAGGATTCAGATTCACACAAAGAGGATTCAGATTCACACAAAGAGGATTCAGATTCACACAAAGAGGATTCAGATTCACACAAAGAGGATCCGGATTCACACAAAGAGGATCCAGTTTTGCACAAAGAGGATCTGGATTCACAAAGAGGATCCCAGTTCTCTTGCTGGGAGAGGGTCAACTGACCCAAACAAAGACCTGTCCCAACAAGAAGCTTCCAGAACCACTTCCAGGCTGGTTATTAACTAGCACTAAACCAGGACCAGGCTGTGGTGAGAGAGGGTTCAGAGACTGTTGTGCTCAGGATTTCACTCCTGCAGAAAACGGAGTATCAGCTGCCTCTGGACACACAGGACTTGCAGCACTACTGGCAAATGTGACCTGGGAATGAATCCATTCATCTGTCTATCCATTATCCATCCAGAGCAGCTGTTTAACACCAACCACTGCACTATTTAGCTGTTTATGGCAAGAGTTTGTAACTAACCCCCAAACCTCAGTGACCCCCCTACATGTGCATTCACTGGGAGTGGACCTTCTCCAAGGGATAAGATCTGGGAAGCACTTGGAATCAGCCAGATCTGAGCATGTGCTGGAGCACCTCATCATCCACAGCCTTAATTCCCAAGTCTGTATGAGTTCTTCCTTGCAAGCTCCTGGTCTTTGGAAGATTGGGAATAGTAAAGCTGCTCCAAGAAACCCAAACGCTCATTTCCTGCCGGAGCACAATATTTAGCTCTTGGGGTGGCACAAATTACAGCATCCTTATTTTTATTTCAGCATTTATTTGCAGGAAATGTACAACAGAAACCTGATGCTGGCTGGATTTTAAACCCACAAGCACTCTGTAAACAAGCTCGACCCAGAGAGATTTACATGTTTCTTCTTGAAACATAAGGAGAAGCAGCAAGGCTGAATAATTGGAAACAGTTCTGGAGACTTCATTTGCTTGTTTTTTCCTGGGATTTGCTTTTGGCGCTGGCTGTTCCCAACCTTAATACCTGGCAGGGCTGATCAACTAGTTGGAATCTCATTTGCATAGTAGTTGATGTGCCAGGGGGAAATCAGTGCCCTGGAAGAGGTCAACAATATCCAAGGGGAAAAAAGAGTGTGGAGAGGCCATTTTTCTTCAACTGCTGCTTTTAAAAGGGGTCAGAGCAGAGTATCCAAGATCAAGGCTGAATATATAAATATACCTCAAAGAACACATTACTGTGACATCCCTGGGAGCCTCTGGATCCGTCCTGAAACCCTTTGAGAAGGTGCCAATCAGCAGCACAAACACGCCCAGGTTTTAAACATGTGCCCATGGGACACACTTCCCCCTCAGGAGCCACAGCCACTCCAGTTACCTGCAGTGGGACAGGGTGGGAGCAGCAGTGCTCCCCTGAGCTGTGTGCTCAGCATTTTGAGGCTCTGTAGGGTGAGGTGACCCCTCAAACCCTTCTGGGATCTGAGCAAACAGCCGCGGTCCTGCAAACAGAAGAGGGTGCAGAGGAGCTCGTTAAAGAGGATCCTCGTCTTCAGGGAGGCTCTGCCCTACTGACCTGTTTGCAGGATCAGGCCTGGGCAGGGAGGAGTCCAAACCCAGGGAATTTGGGTTAGGAAGGAACAAAGCCAAAGTGGAGCTGGTGCAGGACGTCAGTAGCGGCCGTTTCCTCGACTGGACAATGTTCCAGCTCCTCAGGCTCGCTCACATTAATGTTTAATGTGCCAGCACCCAGGATGAAGAGATCCCAAGGAAACTGTTGGCACAGGGAGCTCTCCCTGCACACACATGCCCACAGCACTGTCACCTGTGTCATCCCACACGAGCCTCCTCCAGGACCTGAGTGACCACAGGCAAACCCAGCATCGATTTAAAAGGCAAAGCAGCCCCATTTTGGGGCTTGGTGCATTTCTAAATATCCAACCCCCTTCTGCAGAGACCATGGAGAAGGACTTCAATAAACAGGAGGGGAAGGACTTCAATAAACAGGAGGGGAAGGAAAAGGGATGGCTCAGAAAGCCCCAGAGCAGCAGCTCCCCCAGCGCCGCTGGGCATCGCTCACTGCTGGGGTTCAGACACAAACCTGGCAGCTTCTGCCCCTTGTCACCCACTTTGAACCTCAGGAGACACCCCCTGAAGCTGCTGAGATGCCAACAGAGCAGGGGAAGGTTACAGGCAACAAACAGCATCGGTCCAAACCCCCCATCCAGGTTAGATGGCTCGATAATGGCTGGAAAAGGGAGGTCTGAGCTGCCTGGAAGCCTCAGCTGTGAGCAGACCTGAGGACAACATGCAGTGCAGATGTTTAAGGGTTTCTTTTATCATGCTGTAAAAATGTATATCCAATCATGCCCAGCAAGCCTCCACAAGCAGATATTAAGTTCAAGGAATGAGAGGGCAGTTTTAGAACCACCCACTGAATTTCTCCACATTTTCCATGTCCTGCCCATGGACTTCAGGTTCAGCAGACTAAATCCAGACTGTGGCTTTTATTGCCACTGCTTAATGCCTTTATTCTGAGAAACATTTTCACATTTTAGTGCTTTTATCAAAGTGGGCTGCATTTAATTAAAAGCAGACCTGTAAAGCAGTTTGTTTCTATTGCCCTCTTTCCATGATAGCCCAAGAACTATTGCATAATACCCAGCATTTACTTTACTTTCGTGCTTACACTTTTAACATTAACCACATTCACAGGTTAAAAAAACAATGAAACCCTCCCAGCCTTGCAGAGCTTCTCCATATGATCAGTCCCCCCAGTTAAGTGCTGAATTAACCAATGTATCTTAGCTGGGGACTGTATAAAACTGAATAAAACTGACTCATAAAAAAAATCCTTTCAGTTTACCTTAAGAAGGCACCTGGTTAAAATGAGCGCTCTCAGACCCTTTCAGCATCCCCAACATTTGCTGAAAAGGCTCTGCCTGGTTCATTTTCCATCTCCTAACAGACTGCCTGCCATATTTCGTGCCAGATCAATAAAAGTTCCATGTGCACAAATGGGCTAAAAGGATGTTTGCTCGTATTTCTAAGCCCAGCAGTTTCTCAGTGGGCTTTTTGTCCGGTTCACGACAACTCTGGAAGGTAAAACATGCACAACACCATCATCTTGCTATGGGTCAAGCCAGGCTTTTAAAGCAAAACACAATGAGAAGATTTGCATTGCAGTTGAACTTACAGGGGGAGGTTTTCTGGAGGCTGTGGGAGACGCACAGGACCAGCCATTTAAAGCCCGACACTGGGCTGGGCTTTGGGCTGAGGAAGGAAAGCCTGGACAAGCAGCCGCCAAAATGTTGTTTGGAAATGCATCTATATTTATGTATCTATCTATCATGATCTGGAAGGAATAAGCTGCACCAGCACAATCCTCCAGCACATCATGATTGGACAAAACCTGCATGACAATGAAGAGTGTGAGTTCGGAGCGAGGAGGCACGACCCCGACTCCCCACCCTGCCAAGACAGGGCAGGAAGGAGGTTTTGGTTAAATTTGGGCCAACTATTTCCCTTCAAGTGGGTTTTTGCTTCCCCCCCCCCTTTGCAAGCCAAGTTTTGCCCTGGGATTCGACAGCAGGGCTTGCAAAGTGCTTTTGTTCCCTGCTGAAATCCGTTTGCGGGGTCGAGCCCCGGCCTGATCCTGCCCCACCGGAAAGTTTAAGGGAGGTGTTGTGAGAAGCAGGTGAGGTCTGCACACCACTGAGGACACGGGAGCAGAGCCCAGCTCCTGCAGGGCAGACCTCTCCCTGCAGAGACCCTTGAGGTCCTTACACCACCTGGAAGCTTCACCTGGAGCAGGATTTGGCCGGGATCCACCACCCTTCCCCATCCCTCACCTCCCGATCGGATTCTGCCCGGAGACACACAGACCTCCTCCCTGGAGCCAGAGCAGAGCCTTTATCTACAGGTGCAGTGCAGAGAGGATTGGGCTACAGGTCCAGTGCATCCTCTGAGGAAACAGTTAAGCCCCCACCAGGACTCCCAAAACTGCAAAGATGAACCTTCCCCTGCCAAACCCTTCACAGAAACAAAGTCCCAGCGCACGCACTCGCAGGTCAGGGCACATGCAAGGACCCTCTCCCTCCCCAAAAGAAGCCAGCTGGAATATTCCTTGGTAAAAAGATGGCATTGGGAGCTCTTACCTGATAAAATCTGTATTCCCAGCTATCAGCACACCTACAGCACCAGGCTCTCATGGGGCATCACGCAAGGGTGCAACAGCAGATTGGTGCAGGTCATGGAAGTTTACAGCCAGAAGCAAAAAAAACCCAGCCCAAAACAACCCCAAAAAATCCCCCAAAAGCCACAACATGACCCAAATGATATCCCTGCAACGGCTGTCTCGTTACAAGCAAGCTGAGATGAAGGAGGGGTTTTTACTTGCTCTGAGGCATCATATGGAGCTTAATCACAGGCAGTTACGTATATGGTTCTTTTGGCCTTCAATCAAGTGTGTCATTTCGGTGGCAGCTGCCTACGTGATGTAAGCAACCTGGGCATCCAGTCCTTTGCCAATCACGGCCTGGTGCAGCTATTTTACAGCTGAACAATGGGGGAATTCGATTTCCCAGGCACCGAGCAGATCCTCTTGGAGTCCAGCAAAGCCACACAGGATCACACACCTCTCCTCCCGCGGAGTTCCAGGCAAGCCCAGCCCGGCCAGAGCTCAGCGAGCCGCTCCCAGCGCCGCTCCCGTCCCGCTAGCATTCCCGACGGAGCCCATCTGGATCCTGACGACTTCCAACACTCTCCAAAAGCCACTGAGAGACAAAGCTTGTGAAGCACCCGGCGAATTAGTGCGACACAGCGCGGCGGGTGCTCGGGGGGAGGCGGCTGCTCCACGGGAAACACTCAAACTTGGTGGGTGGAAAAGGTCTGAGCTGCTGGTGAGTAACAGGAGGAACAGCTCACGCTCAGGACACAGCGGCGGCTCAGCCGCCCTCAGAGCAGCCCTTCGGTGGGGAAATCAGGAGGCAGTCACTGCAAATCAGGTGTTAAACCTGGGCTTGAGATTAGAGCTGAAATAAAAGCGAGCTGGGCTGAATAAATTACAGCTCCGAGCAGGGGCTGGGTGACAGGCAGGACTCGCTCCGGGAGTCTTTTGGTTGCCGACAGCGGCATCAGGAGGTGTTTGGGGCCAAATTCCTCTGTCGAGGACGTTTGTTGGTTTTGACAGATTCATTAGGACCCATCTATTCAAACAGATGGCGGCTGCTCCCTCTGCTCTGGGCTCTCCATTCCTGTGGAACTCCACAGGAGCAGGACACCGCATAGACACCGAGCTCTCATTACATCACCCACGGCGCGAACCGGGAGAGGGCCAAGAAATTAGGAAAAAAAGGTTTTCTGGGCAGCAAAAGTGCTGTTCTGCTGCTCCATGGCAACTCCACAAACACCCGTGTGTGCGCCCACAGCCGCGCACAGCCCGGGAGAGGGGAGGGAAAACCGGGAATTAGCCGCACGCGCCAGGGGATGGGGTACCGACTGTTCCCGCCTGGAGAGGACGAGCATCCCGAGCATCCACACCCGCAGACCCCCCGTGGCCGCCCGCGGACCCCGCTGTGCCCCGCGGGGGACGGCGCAGCTCCCGCCCCGTCTGAGCGCGCTGGGAGGGTGGGATGA